TAAACCACTCTAAATCTTCCCCTCTTTCATAATCCTAGCTTTGTTTTGAGTGGGGAGCATTGTGGAGAGAGATATTACCCCTCAAAAATTCGGCCCTTTGGAGAAATTTGGGGTTTTGAGAGTTTCTACCTCCATTGAAGCTTGAGGAGCCATCAATCCTTGGTTGTGTGACCATTGGTGGTAAGATTCTAACCCTTGAACCTCATGATTCCTTGAAATTTGCATGAGTTAGGGTTTGTGAATAGTAAATTGGGATTTTATGAAATGTAGTTGAATTAGATATGTTCTAGGAAGAATGGAGCTTAGAGCATGTTATGGAAAATGCTAGGAATGTCATTTAATCGGTGGAAATGAGCCTAGGTAGTCATTTGATAATTGTTCATAATATTGGAAAATTCATGCTTGGATTGGTTAGTATTCTAGCATGTTGAACAATTAGTGAGTTGAATGATTGATTGGATCCTTGTGATGTCTAGGATTGAGACATTTGGACCAACCGTGAGTGATCAACCATTGGAGCAAGCTATGGAGCTTGAATAGCTCATTGGAATTGGTAAGCTCATACTTGGGTTGTGCTTTGAATTGAGTAATTGATGGTGGATTGTGAAATACTCTTGGATGCAATGTGTTGATTGCATTACACCATGTGTAGGTGTATGTTTGTAAAAGTTGATTGCTGAAACTGTTGGTGAAGAACAAAGGTCGACTGAAGCATTGAGGTAAGCCTTCGGACCTTGGGTGTAATTCCCTTGACTGTTCTACCAAGCCCTGAAAGGGTGGAGGTTGTGATTGTGTATATAAATGCAATAAAATAGTGTAATGCTTTGTTATACGTATGTGTATGCATTTGGTGTGGCATAGGATGGTGTTTCCCTATGTTGGTATGTGGCATGACGATGCGTAAATCATACTTGGTAGTTAGCTGGCCAGTAGGACTATTTGCATCTGAGTTTCCTTAGGACAGCTTGAGAGCTCGAGGGATTTCTCCTGGAGATGTATTGCACTTTGCATAGATATGTATTTACTGCATTATTATTGTTATTGCTATTACACTGATATGGAACTGTGGGGTGGAGAGATGCTCCAAGGACCCCTGGTTTACTGGATATATTCGTATATCTCACCCCGTGTTGTGGGGACCCCCTTTCAGGTAAGGATGCTGCAGGAGCCTCTGGTGGCAAGTGGCCATACCTAGATTATGCATGAAATATGGCACTTCTTTGAGTTTATGCATGCCTTTTGTAGTTGACATGTATAGGATTTTATTTTGAAAGCCCATGATCATTTGTATATCTTGATTCATTGGATGAACTTAGCCTATGCTCATGCCTTTGGTTACACCTATTGTTGATGGGAGCCAAGGGAATGATCATAGTGTTTTGTAAGCTAAGTTCTATGATTTGTAAAGGATATGTAATGTAAATGATGTCTACTTGGAATTCAATATATGCATGCTTGTTATGTATTGAGTTGTTGAATTGGTTGGGCTGAAAATCAATTAGGTACCCTCTTCGTTTAAACTGGTAAACGATGAGAAAACAAAGGTCATGCTGCCCAAATTCTAGCTAAATCTCATGAGGAGAGGTTGGATGAGTGCTAGGATTTAGTTTCGGGGCATGGACCTTTGTGGTTTGTAATGGGGATGCATTTTCCCCTAGGCTTGGACTTGAGAAATGTGGGAATTGGAATTCCCTGGCAGCGCGCTTAAGCGCCCAGGAGCGCGCCCAAGCGCCCTGCTGCCCCTGCGAGTGCCAAATGCATTCTGCCTCCTCGCGCTGGAGCGCCCAAGTGGGGGCTTAAGCGCCCGGGATTGCGCGCTGGAGCGCCCTGGTCCGCGCTTAAGCGCCCTTCGCCACTGAAGGAGGAGATGCTTCTGTCTCTGCGCGCTAAAACGTCCCAGTGGGAGCTTGAGCGCCCAGGCTAGCGCGCCTGAGCGCCCTGTTGCGCGCTTAAGCGCCCATCCACACTGGAAATGCTGATGCTTACTGCCTCCGTGCGCTTAAGCGCCCAGATGGAGGCTTTAGCGCCCGATAGCGCGCGCTTGAGCGCCCGGTAGCGCGCTGAAGCGCGCGGGGCCTGTGACCAACACTCTCTTGTGTTGCTTCAAATGGTCCTAACTTGGGCTACAGTGCTCCGATTTGAGCACAGTTTGAAGCCACAGGTAGCTAATGAAGAAACCTACAATATAGTAGAAGTATTGAACTAAACAAGAAGTAAATTAAAGGTTTAAAAATGGAAGATGAACATGATGTTAAGCTTAATTTATCTGTTTCCGCAAGGTAATTTGGTTATGATCACGGAATTGGGTATTACAAATTCAGTACGTTTTAAAATGAAAAATTTATCCGGATTTTAATTGAACCCATGTGATTGTAACTGCGCTTAATATCATAATGCGATGTTAACAAACCGGTTCTAGAACGGGGTGTTACATTTTATGGTATCAGAGCAGTTTCGTCGGAAATTGTTAAGTATGCTTAGTGTTTGATGCTTTATAGTTGTTTTAGTACTCTTTATGATTATTGCATTTGTGATCACTAAGTGTGGGCCTGATCAACTCACTTCTTTGTGTAACATGTGTAGTGACATGACGAGGAACCGAAACAACCCCGGACCATCAAACACCAATGCTCAGCCAGAACCTGTTTTGGCTGCTCTTGTAAGGCCTAGAAGTGGCCGTGGGGCAACGGGCGTACCGCCTGATCCCGTGGCTGAAGCTCTTGCAGCCGTTCAGAGAGAGTTGGCTGCGAGCAGGCAAGCCAATGAAAATTTGTTAAAGACAAATGAAGACTCGCGGACTGCTATGGCCGCGATGATGACCGAGTTGAGGACGTTGAGGGGTCCTAGGCCCGTGAACCGGCAACCTACTCCTCCTCACACTGCTACGCCTTCTCCACCTCCGTCACAGGAAGAGGGTGGAGTGGGTAACAATGAGGGTGAAGGTAGTCACCACTCCGGAAGTCGGAGTCATCACACTGAGGTTCGTCAACCTCAAGTTGAAAATGTCGGTGATCATGAAATGGAGGAAAGGAGACTGATGGCTTTCCGAAAACATAAACCTCCTTCTTTTAAGGGAGGTTATGAGCCAATGGCGGCTGCAAAATGGCTCCAAGCTATGGAGAAGATATTCAGGGTGATGAGGTGCCCTGACGCAATGAAGTTGGCTTACTCTGTTTATATGCTGGAAGAGGAAGCAGAAGATTGGTGGACAAATACCGTGCAGCCATTAGAAGCTGAAGGTCGGGAGATCACATGGCGGTTATTCGAGACATTGTTCTTGGATAACTACTTCCCTAGAGAGGCTAGGGAACAAAAGCAGAATGAGTATAACGATCTCAAACAAGGGTCGATGTCTATTGACCAATACTTCTCAAAATTCAATGAGTTGGTGAAATACGCCAACTATGGGCGAGCCTTACCCACCCCGGCTGAAATGACCTCCAAGTTCCAATGGGGTCTTAATGAAAAGATGTCTCGGAAGATGTCAAATTGTGACATCCGAGAATTCAGTCGGTTTGTAAACCAGTGTAGAAAGGTGGAAGAAGTGTATAAGGTGTCCCAAGCCAAGAAGTCTTCTGAGGCCCAGGCACCTAGTTCCCATAAAGCAACGGGCTCCGGTTATTGGAAGAACAGGAAGGTGCAAGGCAAGAAGCTGAATGCGAATAAGCCCTTTGACTTGTTCAAAAAAACCGGTACTCAGAAGAAGTTTGTTGATAGAGGACCTCCTCCCAAGTGCAAGGGATGTGGCAAAGAGCATAGAGGTCTATGTGCTACTGGTGAGGTGATTTGCTTTAAATGTGGAAGATCCGGTCACTACTCCAGGCAGTGTCCTCAGAATGAAGCAAGGACTATGGCAGTTCAAGCTACTGCTGTTCCGGTCTCTGTTGTTCAACCTATGCTAGAGTCTCAGACGGTTGGTAGAGTATATACCATGGACCGTCAACAATCGGAGAAGGCTCCGAATCTAGTGAAAGGTACAATTTACATTGATAATAAGGATGTTGAAGTGTTGTTTGATTCAGGAGCTACACACTCCTGTATGTCTGATTTTATGGCCGTTGGGCTAAATTTGCAAATGTATGACATTCGCCCTCCAATGAAAGTGGTTACTGCTACTGGAGAGGAGTGTTATACATCCGTGTTGTGTAAAGATGTTGAGTTCAAATATGAAGGCCGAGATTACGTGCTGGATTTTATTTGTTTACCTATGATCAGCCTTCAAGTTATCTTGGGTATGGACTGGTTGTCAAAGAACTGTGCTATGATAGACTGCTGCGGTAAAAGGATTGTGCTTGATGCTGATGATTCTGCTACTAGTTCTTCCCCATATCTATCTGTGTTGCAGGTTAGAAAGGCTTTGAGGGCCGGGGCATTGGGATATGTCTTTGTGGGGGGTTTAGTAGGCGGAAGTCATGAGGAGATTGGCACTATTTCCGTGGTGAGGGAGTTTGTGGATGTGTTTCCAGATGAAATTCCACAACTTCCGCCTTATAGAGAGATTGAGTTCACGATTGATCTATTGCCTGGTGTGGGGCCTATCTCTCTGGCTCCGTATAGGATGTCACCACCGGAATTAGCCGAGTCACTTTAGTAACTGTGTTGTAATTTAGAGAGAAACAGTTATATGCAAAGCCTTCTAATGTGAATTTTGGCTCTGAGTGCAATTTCTGGGTCACGTTATCTCTGTGAGGGAGTAGCGGTTTATCCTAGCAAGATAGAGGCAGTTGTTCATTGGCAGACCCAAGAGGAACAGAAATAAGAAGTTTTGGCAATTCGTTGGCCACCACCTTAGTAGATTCATTAAAGAATTTTCAGTGATTATGTTGCCATTTCTACTGTTTTAACCCGGAGGGATAGCTCCATTTGTTTGGACACAAGAATGTGAAGAATGCTTTCAGAGCCTTAATGAGTAAAACTCAACGACTGCTCGGGTTAGCATCTCCGAGAACCCGTCAGGTGAATTTGAAGCTATACAGCGATGCTTCCAAAGGAAGGGATTGGGACCTACTCAGTGCAAGATAGGCGAGTGGTAAAAGCTTACTCATCGAGGCAATTGAAACCGCATGAAGAAAATTATCTCTAATGCATGACCTTGAGCCGCTGCAATTGTTTTTGGGTTGAAACAGTGAGGCATTTCTTGTATGAATGCAATTTACACTCAGTTGATCACAAGAGTTTGAAATACTTGTTTGATCAGAGTCTAGCCGACACGAGACAACGACGGTGTCCAAACCGAAGACTATGATTTTGAATTGAAATATGATCCTGGCAAGGCTAAAGTCAACCTGAGTGATTATGAGCCGTAAATCTGTTGTAGCATATCAAGCATGATGATTAGAGATTATGAACTGCTATAGAGACTTTAGATATTCAATTATCTAAAATCTTTCCATGTAAAATTTGTGGCTTTGTATTATGAGCATTGAAATAAATGATTACTCAGACGAAGAAGCCCAGCTGCAACCAAGTTAGACGACTAAAAGGTCAGAAGCCTGTTATCCTGCAGCGGACGAGGGTATACTATGATATCAGGGTCGTGAAAGTTGTACCTAGGCAGTTGGCGGAAGAAGTTATGACAGAGGCTCATAAAGGTTATTTTACAGTTCATCCGGGAGCTACAAAGATGTATCAGGACCTAAAGATGAATTTCTGGTGGCCTGGTATCAGAAAGATATTGCCGAATTTGTCTCTTAAGTGTCTCATTTGTCAGAAGGAAAGATTGAGCATCAAAAGCCTTCTGGGACGTCGACCTCTGGATGTTCCTGAGTATATGCCAACTGAGCCAGCAGACATAT